GGAGTTATGCCGTAACACACATAAAAAAAAATAAAAAAAAAAATATACCGACGAATTGAATACCTCCTTCTTTTGGGAAGTCGGTCAAAAAGATGAAACCTAACTAGTTCTTAATAACTTAATTTTTTCGACGTTAACATTCTTATCATATGCTGAAATATTTATTTTAATGCATCTTTAAAAATACCCTAAACTTAGTGTCGTTACATACGAGTCAGTTAACACGTATATTTAACTCATGTTGACAAAACCCTGTCCTAAGTTAAAAAAAACCTTTTGTAGATGGTATGTTCATGTGACTGATCTGAACTTAAAATTCAAAAGTTCACAGGCGCTTAACATATAAGAGAGGAGAATTGACCCAATCTTTCAGCATTTGTCACTTTTGCCATAAAATCATTAAAAACATAGAGTTGATTTTAAAGAAAATTATTCTTTGGTTGGACCCAAATAATCAAACGGAATCGGTTAAATAAAAGCTTTTATAACAGTCAGTTAAAAAAGCGCCTACGATTAGTATACATACAGATATCTCATGAGCTTTTATGCTGAGTCTTTTTGCGTTCGAAAAGAAAAAGGTGAATAAAACACCAACACATTATTATTTAATTATTCTACACGAAATTACGCCATTTATTTCATATAGTCATTTCTGTTGTAGTATTAGACATCTTCCCTTCTTAATTTTGCAATAAATAATATCTTTCTTTTTCCCTTTGTAACCGACTTCAGAAAGGAGGTTTTAAATTCTTCCGTGTATTTTAACTCACAAATTATCGCGGCAATATTATCGTATCTTAAAAATGCTAGCAATAATTTGAAATTAAGTGCGATTAATGTCACAGTTTCATTGACATTTTCCACTGGCGTTAATGTTCACAATCGTTTCGCTCCAAGCCATACAGGGCGGGCAATCTAATAAACAAGATGGTATACGTCCGTTTGCCTTCAAGGCGTCACATGATTGTACAGATAAATACAGCTTTGTAGACGAGGAAGTACTCTGATTGCCTATAGATGATATACTGCCTTAGATTGAGACAATTAGTTGAGAAATTATACAAAGAAAGTTGTAATTTAAGGTAATTTGAAAGTTGTAGCAGCGCAATGTAAGGAAGTATTCTTTACGATCCTCCCCGTCTTCGCACGGATTCAATGCTGATACGAATATGTGTTTAATTACGATATCTCATTAGAAACCTCTAAAATTTACAATATTTCTTCGTACTTAACATTATACGTGTATTATACATATAAATCTTTCTCTTGAATTACTCTATCTATTGAAAAAAACTGCTTCAAATCCATTACGTAATTTAAAAAAAAATCAAACAAAAAAACGGGACCCACCTGCAAGCATTACCTTTCGGATAAAAAAAGAATTATCAAAATCGGTCCACTAGCGGCGGAGTTATGCCGTAACACACATAAAAAAAACATATAGACGAATTGAGTACCTCCTTCTTTTGGGAAGTCGGTCAAAAATCTAAGTATACATAGGGACAGACAGACAGAGGGAAATTACTTTACATTCGCGGAAAAGTTATAAAAGTGTAAGAGTTATTTATTGTTTAGTGCTATTGCCAATAAACTAAATATAGATTCATTAACTCATTTTCCTCTAGTTCAGAATTTTTGACTTTCAATCACTAAAAATATTAATAACCATCGAAGACGCTAGTAGCTGTTAACTATCACCGCTTTTCTTATTTTGAAACCGTGTAATTATAATCTTACGAATAATAAACATAAGCCATGACTAATGAGCTAAATGTAGAGGCGGTGCTCGTACTATCAGATGACCCTCAATAATCGCTTACACGAACTCTACCGCGGCGTGTCGATAGCGAGTAAAGGGTTAAATCGTTGAATAGTTCAACATGTTCGATGTTTATCAAGCTTTCTTTTATACTACATGGTAATACTATAATTGCATGGTTTAAAAAGATAGATAACAAATTTTATAAAATTTATTTGTTCAACTCTTTTCTGAAATATTTGTAACGAGCTGTTGCCCGCGACTTCGTCCGCGTGGTATTAGAAAACATACAAACTATATAAATTACAAAAAGTTACGTATACCTCGGGAACCGGACATTTCTCGGGGATGAAGCTTATCCCATGTGTACTCCAGACTTTGTTTTATATCAGTGCCAAATTTCAATAATATATGTTGAACCGTTGCAGAAACATCGAGTAAACATTAAAAAACTAAAGTAATGAATCCCACGGAAACCGAAACTATTCCCGGGATAAAAAGTAGCCTATGTGTTCTTCCAGACTATGCTCTAAACTTGTGCCAAATTTCATACGTCCGTTCAGCCGTTTAGGCTACAAACGCTAACAAACATCCATCCATCCATCCATCTATCCATCCATCCATCTAAACTTTTGGATTTATAATATTAGTAAGAAGTAAGATTAAAATATTTCAGTTATTTAAAGATGTAACGACTAGTTCTTTTACATTATTGATGGGCGAACGTGCGACCTCTGAGTTACCATGACACTTATGTTAATGAAGATATATGAAAACAGCACCTTGTGGAAACTTTCATTTCGCAATGTCATTACACAATGAGGCGGCCTAAATTGCTTAAATAGCTGAGAGTTCAAAGATCGGTAAAATGATATATATGTTAAGAGATGATAAAAAAACACTTTATTGGATGATATTTGACGACATATCCAATTCAAATAATATTTTTTATAAGGCCAATGTTACAACAGGACATTATATGTTTCACTATTTGCCTCTAGAGATAAGATTATATTGATTAAAGTACGGAGAGGAGATTTCAGTTCTAACTTTCTACGACGGACTATGACAATTTCTTATTTAAGTTTTAAGTTAAGAGTACACATTAACTTTATTTTTCACTCAAATATTACTAAAGTTAATTGTATTAAGTTTAGATAATTAACTCGACTGTGATAACATTGGCACATTTGGGGTTTGTCCGACCACTGACTGATAGAGTCTTAGATAGCTTAAAAATGACGTTATTGTCAGATAAAGGAACAAAATCCGATATTTCCATCACATATTTTACACGTTCGATTGTTATCAGATAATTTACAATTTGGTGGGACAGGCCCTGTCTTTTTTTTTAAACGAGTAGGACGGCAATAATTTTGTACAAGTGCGTCTACAATCAAAACCAGTTAAATAACTATGTATAATTATAAAAACGCAATATTAACATCGCGAGATCGTTCAAGATCAATTATCCCGAGAGTAACGTACGTACTCGTATTGTGAGTGCAGTATGCAGTTATTGTGCTGCACACATACAAGGTATTAACGCTCCGCTACCCCCGTATATAAACCTGGTGTAGACTAGCCTTGAACTTCATTTCACCACGACTGCAACGCTCAAGACCATAGGCAACCCTTATCCAGCGATTGTTAGAACTATGGTGTGAGATTGTGTTTGTTCTATGGTGATTTAAGTTCAGACTTTTTTGTGTTTTAGTGGTAATTTATAAATATGAAGTTCGTTAATAAAGCGGTAAGTAATAATAAATTGAAAACATAATAAATGAAAAATTATTGGTTATTAAAATTAAAAACAATAAAAGTTTTTTTAAGATAAATTATCAAGTTATGGATGTTTTTCTTAATTTTTTTTATAAGATTTATATGACAAAATTCTTTTAATTAATTACATATAAAGTGAGAGTCAATTACACTTTGATTACATGAGATATTGTCACAGTGAAATGAAATAGAAAACATAATGTGTATTCTATTGAATATTACATTTTCCACTTAATTTACCAATTTAGTATGTTGTAAATATTTACATACTATTTTACATATCAAAAAGATAAATACAATTGGTTTTAATTCGCTTAATACGACGGTGACGTAATGTTTTTTTCTTATGTATTATTTTAATTTTTTTTGACAAATGTAAGTTATTACTATAATCTGTTAAATTTATTGTATTTAAACCTTATCGATCCTGGACTGCTGTGTTTTTATAATATACTTTTAACGGATATGGAAATGATTTTCTTAACTTCTTAAATAACCAATCCTTAAGAGAAATCAAGACCGAATTTATTAAGAGTGGAACGGCTCTTATCACTTTCGAATATGTTAACATTGTTATGATATCGATTCGATCTTGATATTTCCTGCTCTAGATGGTATATTGTACAATCACATTGCACAAGTGTTCAGGAAATAAATATGCTGATATTTACGTAATCAATGATCATGTAAATTTGTTATAACGGCGAGTTTTCATTGTCGTATTACCTATGTAACTTATTACCATCATTTTCACTCTGCTTGAAAAACAGAAAAAGAGAACAAAAACAGAGGTAATTATAGAGCTCTATACGTGTACTTTGATAGTTTAAATTAACGGTAAGAATACTGCTATATGTATGAATACCATTGGTAGGAATTGTGCAATTGTATAAAAAAATGTTTTGTTTTGCTGGCAGACTAGCAGCCGGCTGTAAAAATTAAGCTAAAGATGTAAAGTTAACAAAATTGTTTGCAATTTTTGTAACGCAATTTCTCATGATCAGAATTTTATTTTCTATTTATGGAACAAGAAAGGTATAAGACTTATTCGTGACTCATAGCACGAATTGAAAGCTTCAACATATAAACATCGATATAACGACCTTTGACTTTGCAAACTGGCTACCTGATCTCTTAGTTAAATAGTAATTAATTAAATTATGTTATACTTACTATCTTAACGAATTGCATAGATACAATAAATAAATAAATGTCTATTTATTGTATAACAACTAGGAGTTGCCAGTTGTCAAATTAAATAAAGATATGCTTTTGTTTATTTTATCGATTCGGATGTAATAATCTTCAAAATAATCTGTTTAATTTAGAAATAAATTCTCGTATATTATAGTCAAATTAACATATTAATTGTATAATAGTTTATTGTTAAAATTAATATTATCATAGCTTTTATTGATTCATGTCGACATTTGCCATGTATTAATTGATAAATTCACACCAGGTAACGATTCTTAGTGATTGCGTGTAATTTATTACGGTAATAATGTTCAAGTGTGAATATCTTCGATGAATACCTTTTTATATTGGATATTGATTCATCTAACTGGCTAGTTAGTTATTGTTCTTTGTACCATGAAACTGTACTATGATTTCAACTCATTCGTAATACGTAAATTAAATTTATAGTAATTCGGAATCAAAAACATTGATGAAGTATACTTATGGACTAGGCATAATAAAAAAAAATGCCGGTACTTTCTCTGAAAGGTACCATATCAGTTGTCAAGTTTAGTGCCACCTCGTGTCCTTGTATTGATATGCAATAATTTACAAAATTATAAAAAGCTCCATCTTTTGTTATAACATAATCTACCTATTCTATATTTTTTTCAATATCTTATCTTTAACCAATGATTTATTAATTTGAACAAAAGATAAATCATAATAATGTTGCGAATTTTAGAAAGAATAATAAAATTATGATAAATCAATTATCAGTATAACAGTTGCTCGTATATCGGAAATTCAATTATAGACTGTGTTCGGAACTCGCAGCTATTCGCAATATTTGCATTTGCATAATTAAGTAATCAGTTTAAATCTACAATTACTAAGACAAGGATGACTAAAACAAGCATCTAATGCGGTCATCCCCGGGTCACTTTCTCCGATCTTACGTGATCAAATCGTAGGTATGTCGTGGTCGTGTCCCAATTGGGTGCAATGTCATAAATCTTGTACATTATATAATACTGAAATATTTCCGTTCCAAATTACAACGAACTGGTCTATGCAAATCAACTTCCATGTTTACATTAGTCGGGTTTACGCGACCAACTGGTTTTTATTTACGATTTTCACTATCACACGTAATGTAGTTGTATTTGTTCGATGAATTAAGGTCACTTGAGTGGTTGTTCCGATATTTGCTTCTATTCAATAGTATGATGTAGTAACACATTGTAACTCCCATTGACACAAGAAGTATAAAACTGATCTTTGTTTGTAATATTTTGCGGGTTTTTTAAATAATTTAACAGATTTAATTAAAAATTAAATCAGTATTAAATTTAGGTATTCGATAAAATATAAGCAAATAATAAGCACTGTTACTACGAAAATAAGAACGTCTGCCTTTCATCCATATAAATTAGACAGAAACAAATTAGTACATGTCAGGACAGCAATTTGAGTTTAATTACAACATAGGTGAGCTTGATGACAAATATTCCTTATAAAAAATAAAATTTCTAAGTTGAAAGTGAAAACTAGGAAACAAACCTCGCAATTATTTATATTTAAACTAAAAACATTTTCCCACCTAAGAGTAATAAGGATTATTTTGAAAACAAATGTATGAACACTCCCGACTTATTACGAAACATTGTTTTAGAAAATGCATATTGATCGAGTAAACTAAATGTGATGTAACACAAGGATATAGTTTAGTTATTAATCATAAAACAGTATAGATTTCTCTTCTTTTCGTTGAAGAAATCATTTTTTTAATCTACGCCTATTTGATCTGAGATATTATATAACGGTAGCATCTGTTATCCGCCAGATGGTTTAGAAAAACCAGTATTAGATAATTTGAAACTTAACATTTGTCCAATTTTACATATTATTTAACTCAGCTTATATTATTTTAAAGTTTCTACCTACGTACCAACACTAATGTGCAAATATTCGATGTTTTTGTTTTTAATTTTTCAAAATGATTTCATATATGACTTAAAGTTATTATATGTTTTGTAATAGACAACTCAGTAAATCAAGTGTCCCTAGAACTTTCCCAAGACCTCGAGTAAGGTAAGAGAAAGGATTGATCGCAAAGGGCAGGGAAAAGTTGTCGCGTCCTAAGGTTAAGACCATTGAAAATCGTGAGGCGCAACGATCTTTGACACAGACCATTGTATATGTATTGATCTTGAATTAAAAATACCAAAATATATGTGTACTGTAAACCAACCAAATATCTTTATAAGTTGTTTTGATTTGAACATTATATAGGTTATAAATTATTATGATTTGAAAACGACGTGTTTGTGTATGTAACGTTATTTAATGTTTATTATTTTTTTATTCCAATTTGTTAATTTTATTTTTATTTTCTATTTCAGATATGGATTCTAGTTGTATTTTTGATAGTCCAAAACGTGCAATGCCAAAATGGATATTCCGAACTGAATAATATACACTTGAAGCATATATTAACAAATCAAGAAGATGTTAAAACAAACTCAAGTTTCAGTACTGATTTCGACCATGGTAATGCTAAGAGCATATCTATTAGTTCTGTTAACGCCCCTTATGAAATGGTCGACAATGACAACAAATTTTCTGACTACGAACGTGCAGACAGGGGAAGAACTAGAAAGATTTATCGAATAAAAAATCCATTTCATCATCCAGAAGAAGAAGAAGATAGTCGACAAAAGGTCTCACAGGACAGTGAAACAGGAGCTAGTAACCAGTATGCGGGAATGCAGTATTCATTACCACCTGAAGAATTCCTTCAACAGATGAGAGCAGAAACTCAATACAATCAACAACAGCAACCGCAACTACAGCATCAGCAAATATCAACACCATCTTCTACATTCGGATACACAGCAACCCCACAACCACAATACCAATATTCTACAATCACCTCAAATTATAACAACGGCAACCAACAAAATAATTTAACACCACAATCAGAACCTAAGTATCCTCCTCAATTCTATAATAATAATTTAAATAGTTATCAATATCATAACACTCACTCCTTTGGTATAGAGGCAATACAAAGCACACCCTCATCCGTAACATTGTATTTGTCTACAAGTTCACCTAATAACCAATATAGCGGTACACCATCTACAAATTATGTATCAAGTTCTTCGCCTATATTTTCATCTAGTCCTGCAAATCCGCAATCATACATTTCTACAACGCTATCAAACATACCAACTGGATCACCCGCCCCCAATAATCTTAATAAGTACTTAAACGTAGAAAGAGATGTACATGGTTATGGAACAAATTTCAGAGATAGAAATCAAAACGTTTACGTAAATCATTTCGATAACTTTGCCAACGGTTACAAATTTCCGAATATGCAGCAACAATATCAGAATGAAATACCATCTTCAACACAGATGCCAGTATCGTCCATGAATCCCGATATCAGCCGCGATAATTGGCAAAACTCTATGCATTTAAGCTTAAGTAATTTGCCAAATTCAAGATCGGAATATACACAGGCATCACAACAAAACTTTCAAAGCAATTACCAAGAAAATCAGCAAAATACTAATTTAGATAATCCTAGTAATGATATGAACCAAATCGGTAGTATGCCATCAGCGAATAATGTTGTTCTGAGTATAGTTCAACCTGATTACAAAACGTACACTGGACTTAAGAACCGTGAAAAAGAAACAGAGAAACAAAAAAAACAAGAAGATGTTTACTCTCACGGCGATTATGGATGGAAATTAGAAGGTAGGAAACCTATAGTAAATTATGACGTTAATTTACCAGTAAACTATCCCAATCAACAAAATAACTTTCAACCTGACAGTAGTTCTTTAAGTTTTTCTTATCGTCAAATGGACAATGGTAAAAATTATGATTATGAACAAAACTCAAAATACAAATCTGAAAGCGTGGACGCGCAAGAATTTGCAAAAGCAGCAGCGAAAGCTCAAGAAAATATGAAAATTCAACAAGAAACTTATTTAAATAATTATATTTTGCATGCACGGTATCCCCAAAATATTTTGACGAACGAACCGGGTAATTTCATGATCTCTAACAATAACCAAAAGAGCTTGACAAACGAAAATACAAATTTCAATGGACAAGCCGACTTGATGACGCAATCGTCGCACTACTTTCAAAATTCTAAAGAAAGCATATATGACAATAAAGTAAAACAACACTTTGATCAAGAGAATGATCCACAAAATTTTGTCAAAATCCATGGTTCAAATGTACCAAACGTAGAGTCAAGACAACAAGATAGCGGCACAATGGATGCAAACAATCAATACTTTTCTTCAAACTACAGTAAAGACATCGATGAAAATTTAAAACAATTCTTGAAACCGTTTTCTGAATCTTATAGAATGAAAAACAACGACATGTTTTCACCAGACGGCTCTAGAAGGTTTCAACAAAGTTACGATAAAAAGTATGAATCATCTCCCAATTCTAACAGTGTATCTTATAAACCTGACTTAAATTTGTCATATTTGAACAGTTTAGGACAATCCAATACAGGTACACAAGTTGTAAGCAATATACAACAACAACGCTCCCAAAATCAAATATCATCCGATAGCAGCAATAGCTTGAAATTAAATGACATTCCATATTGGTTACAAGGTATAAAAAATATGCAATTTCCGCAATCACAATCTAGTGTCAACCAAGGCATTATTCCTACAGGTGCACCTTTATTACTTAATCAAAATATTGAATCTCATCAGATAGATGTTGCCACCAGTATTCTAACAAAATTACTACGAGACAAACAAATTGAAATGAATACTAAACAGGAATATGACGCTCAAAGAGAATCATTACTGCCAACTATAAATGGAATTAAAGTGATGAATCCTTACAATCTGGATCTCACAATGGTCAACGAATATTTAAAAGGGAAAACAAGTGACGTAAGCCCATCTTTTCGCAATCAATACAATCAACCAAATCCAGTAAGATGGGATATGTCACAATTAAAACAACTTCTGTTACAAAATGATAACGTAGGTCAGTACTCGGTTTTAAATAACGTCTTAGGTGGTTCGGGAAGTCCTTTTTTTGAATTACATACCGGTAATCGCCTTCCGTATCAAGGTGTAAAATATTCACGTAGTCAAGAGGAAGCGGAAACTTTAATACCCATAATAGATTCAGAAAATAATCACCCAATCGGCGCTGTGATAGAACAAGATGACTTGAAACATGAAAACAGAGAATCTATAGAGCCGGAGATAGAAGCATCTAACATTGATGATTTTCCAGTCGAATTTGAAAGTGACAAGCCGAGAATAAATCCAAGTTATAGGATGATCGGCAACAGATATAGAAATCCGAATTCTTTACTACCAGATCGTTATGCCTACAGAAAAACCCCAAAGATAGTTATCGGGGAACCTTATCCTTTACTAAAACCACCACCTATTCGTGGTCTAAAAGGTAGAAACCGGAACAAATATGATAACAGCCGTAGACAACGTGGTAATAAATATAAACTATCACGTATTGTTAAACGCGAACCTTTGTTAGAAGACAGTGATGATGACGTAGAAGAAAATGTACCTATACATTTACGACCATCTCTTCTTGCTGAAGACAAATCTGATATCACACAAAGCTCTGACAGTTAGTGATATTCTTTGAAAGAACATCAATTCTTTAAGTATACACTAAAGCTTTATACTAAACAAATTAACACTGGTTTCTAAATATGGTAATAATAGACGTATATTTTAATAACCAAAATTGCATTTATTTATAGTTATGTTTGTTGTAGCTAATTAAAATTAAATTTTGGTAATAATCTTGATAAATAAATCTAAAAACATCAAATTAGTTTAGTGTAAGTGCTGAAATCTTGAGATTTTTTTATTCCTTTAATTTTTGTAAATAATTTTAACATCTCCATTAGTGTGTAATATTTAATTAAATTGCTTATTTATGTGATAAGTCGTAAAGGTATTGCTAATTTATTAATATTTTTAAATAAGAGAAAATAAATGAAAACTAATTATGCAACTGTTTTTTATTTTTACACTTATTTCTTACTTAAATCGACTAATTATTTTGAATAATTTTTTTGACAGAACCTCTTTACAAGTAAAGATAAAATAAAATTTTTTTTTGGGAGCTAATTGTACCCTTTTACTTTGGGGGTCTATAGACTAAATTCTGACTCTATTGAGTTCGTGTGATTCCTTCCCTTAATAAGCGTTGAAATAGATAATGTTTATTTTCCTTTTACAAAATAATGTGTATCGTTTTACTTTTAACTCATCATACATCGAGAATTTTAACACTTGCAATTCTTTCAACTTGCGTGTGTTTCGCTTTCTTGCGTCTCCGTCGCATATCCCAGATGAATCATTAAATGTAAAACGCAATACTTTTTCTGTTACTCCATCATAGACATCTGTCGTTTAACATGTTGCGTGTGACGAGATGATCAATGGATTACTATTTCGCAATTATTAATTTATTTCAACGATCACACATTAATATTTATAAACACGTTGTAAAATATAATTATTAGTAAATTAGGTTGTAGGCTTCGACCAAGGGTATACTGTAAAATTAAGTTGTCATATCTGATGTTACAGATATGACAACTTAATTTTTTTTAATTTTTTTAATACATCTTTTTAAATTAAAGCCAATAATAAAACTGAAATAGAGGCGACTACCCTAATTTTGTACTATGAGGAACCTCATATACTACGATCTTCACAAATTAAGTTAAAAACGTATGTAAATCTTACTTCTTACGAGGAATATTGAAAATTCGAAAGTTTAGACGGATTAATGGATGTTCCTTGGAAATTTATGCAAAGATATAGAAAATTGTCTTCAAGAACATAGGCTACTGATTATTTTGTTTTTTTTTTTTCTGTAATTAAGTGCGTTGGCTTACGCTGGCAACAACTACTCTAATTCGACATATAATGCACAGATAATATAGTGTGGTATTGGCGCATAGATTTAAATAAAGCTACAAATTTCATTTCAAAGTTATTGATTTGGAAATCATACTTCATTAACATTAGTGATGAGCCTAAACACTTCATTGGGCCGTCGGTTAAGTAACTGATATTAAAATTAATTCAGCAAAATGTTCGTTAGAAAAGAGAGACGAACGATAACCAGTTCGTTGTCTCAGAACGCTTCGTATCACAGTAACTACACCGTGATATAAATATGAAGGAAAAGGCCGAAACCGCACAAACGAGCGTCGCTTGTTGGTGAAGAGACAGATATAGTTGTGTGGCCAGCGATTAGCTAAACAAAATGGCTACTTTTGTGAGTTGACATATTTGAAAATAAAAAGTATAAAAGTTTTACCAAAAAAATATAGATTTACATGATATCGTTTTTTTTTCAGACTAAATTGGCGTTTTTAGCAATCTTACTTAGTAGCAGCAATGCCGGTATCCTACATGGAGGTCACAGCGGACTCGCAGTGCCGCCGCCACCTCCTTCCATCAGCGCCTCGAGCTTCTCCCCGAGCAGCTTCCCATCGGGTTCTCTGCCTTCAGCTACGTTCTCTGGCAACGGCTTCCATAACGGTGGCCTAGCTCTTGAGTCTCATGGCTCTGGGTTCGATGCATCTGGTGACGCCGGGCCTGTTCTTGCCGCCGCGACTCTACCCGGTGCTGGAATAAGTGGACCAGTGGGAGCTACTTTAACTGGGCCTTCTGGCGCCGGCTTTGGGGCTCCAGTGAGTGGATCCTTTGGCGCACCATTAGGCGGACCTGGTGTGCCTTTGGCTGGACCTCTTAACTTCGGTGGTGGTGCTCTACCGGGACCCAAGGCTCCAGTAATTAATGAAATTCACGGACTCGCCAATAGCAACGGAGCACCAACACAGTACCGAGTACGCGATGAACCTTACCAAGTCGTGCGTGACGTCACACACAGAGTACCCCAGCCTGTACCCGTGCCCGTTCCCCAGCAAGTTCAAATCCCAGTTCCTCAACCCTATCCCGTCCAAGTACCAGTTGTCAGAAATGTACCAGTACCAGTTGTCAAGATTCAACACGTCAATGTTGACAAGCCCGTGCCTTACCCAGTGGAAAAGATCGTTAAAGTTCCAGTGGAGAGAGTTGTTAAGGTCCCCGTAGACCATCCCGTACCAATTGAGAAAATCGTCGAGGTTCCCATCGTAAAGGTAGTAGAGGTGCCTGTTCATGTGGTCAAGACCTACCCCGTTCCTGTGGTGAAGACAGTCCATCACAAGGCGCACGTCAGCCACGGACATGGACACGGCCACGGCCTCAGCCTGGGGCACGGCCACGGCCACGGCCACGGTTGGTCTCAATGGTAATCTCAGCTCGTCCTCAGCGCGACCAGTGTACCTCAATAACCTCCCTGCTAGTCTAACATTTTGTACATATTTGCCATCATAAGCTCATCGAGAGGCTGCAATGTAGGGTGATAACTAAGTCATTAAGTTAGGTCAAAGAATTGTGTATACCTTTTTCTTTGTAAATAGTAATATAGAATGTTACTTTAATAAAAAAATATCCAAAGACGATTGAATTTTATTTATTTACAAAATGTACTGTGATGCTGCCTTTTCCGAGTAACTGAAAATGATAAGCTAAATACTTTATTTAGTTTCTTACGAAGGAAGAACTCTGGCTTATGTGCCACGAAACGTGTACAAATAACTAATAAAGTAGAGTTATGTTTTAGCTATCGTATTAAAATTATACCAAATAAAAACTATATTGCTTTAATACAGTTATAGTCATCTACTTATACTTATATATCCAAACACAGTCGCACCTTCTCGAGACAAAATAAAGTACTAAATGGTAGGGCAGTATTGGAATAGAATTTACAAGAATTCATAATTAAGACAACTTTTAATTTAACGTTTTGAGAAGCTTTAAATATTTTTAATTTTACCAACTCTTTTCTAAAAACTAATTTTGAGAAACCTCGTATGCCTGTAGAATAAAATAAATAAAATTTTTCGCCTTTCGTTTGGTTTTCATGTAAAAAAACGATCTGAAATAGGGGCAACAATCTCTTAAAATTTTCATAGAAAATATATGAAAACCGTTTTTTTAAAGAAATCTGATGAGTAAAAATTTTTTATAAATATAAATATGTTTATACTAGATTTCGCCCGCGACTCCGTCGGCGTAGAATTAAAAAAAAACAAAAGTGAGTAGCCTATGTGTTCTTCCAGACTATTCTCTATATCTATGCCAAATTTCATCGTGATCCGTTAAGACGTTTGGGCTAAAAACTCTAACAAACATCCATCCATCTAAACTTTCGCATTTATAATATTAGTAAGACATATATTAATACATTTCGTTAAAAGTCTATCGTCTGTCAAAAAACGCATAGTCATTACTTATTTTGGAATGAAGTGGAAGCTAGATGAAATCTAAATTTTACAATTTCAAACTTCGTCAACAAACCAACAATATCAATATTCCAATTAAACGTGTATAGTTGAACATAGATTGTCTAAATTGCTAATTAGATTTGAACTGAAGTACCTATAACATTTTTTAAAGTTAATTTTCAAATATTCACAGAAAAACTTAGGGTAACAATTATATTAACTGTAGAGAATGTACAATTGAGAGCGTGAGAAACGATTGGTGTTGTCATTCTTACTAAATTAAGATTTTCATAATGTGATGGCTCTTAATACATTAAATAATTAACATATTAGAAATATTCTACGGGCCGGTGAAGGCCATGCTTTAACTAGCCCTGATAAGTCTATCCAAAACATTGCACAATAAGATATATCGACATGTCACCATCAATACAAAGGAATCCGCCAAAATGGCAAAGCGACCACTGCCCATAGACATCTGCAATTGCACATAAAGAGGATATGACCCCTCCCTATGCATCTCCTCTACCGTCAAATCCACCTCCGTGTCCTTCCTTTTCTTATACAAAAAGGGTGGTAAAGAGAAAGGGACTTAAATTAGGCCTACACTCATTAGACGAAACACAGAATTGCTTCCGCTTCACGCCTGTCTTCTGTGTAGTCGTAGTATTATACCGGGCGTGCCGACCCATTATTGAAATTTCAACTAAATGCATTTTCTTGTACAGCAATGTTATAAAATTAAAACGAAGCAAACGACTCAATACAGTTTTAGTTCCTTACTAGGACTGACAAGGACATATTGATTTAAAAAAAGGACGAAAGCTGTGCACTACACCCAAATGACGTTATATCTGAATGTAGGCATGTATGTAAGCAATTATTTTATTAAATTCTGAAATCAATGTAGAATTCTGTCAGCATGGGTACATTAAAAAAAACAATATACATTAAAAGATTTACTTGTGTTTTGCTTACTTCGTTCTCTTATAAAATACCTATTAAAGAATTAGACTGATTATTTAAGACACCTAAAAGCCCCTCACTGTTCTTAGTAACCGTAACACTTACAGAAAATACTCAGATAATAAAAGCTTATAAAGAGAAACTTGTCATTCATTGACGTAAGTTTTACGATGTGAACTATTTCATAATTCGCAATAAAATTCCGGAAAAATACATTTAATGTACGACTAATAGAAAGGAATGATGAGATTATTCTGCGCACGTACAAACCAGATTTGATGCCTAATATTAAACAAGTCGCGCTAAAAATTACGTAAAAGTTGACACGAAGTCAACCGGAAGAAGTCGGAAATATCGGTCAGTCGAAAACTAATCAGCATATATTTTCTCAAGACCAGGTGAAACTATACGGAGGTCAAACCAGTTTCTTATCGAATTATAATAACAGATTCGCATTACACAATAAAGGGCATTAATAGCAATAAGTGATGAAAGATAAGCTACCCAGCCACTGTTTGTGTAAAGTTGTAGTTTTACTAAATAAATCTTATGGTAATTTTATATTTGCTAACTAATTTTATATCAAAGATGACGGCATCAATTTATATTCATCAGATCGGCTTATTCTCGATGTTAATATTATTTAGAACGATAATAATTTATATCTTGATGCAAGAACTTATAGGTTTATGTCAAAAAAAGAGGTATCGCAATAGATAAGACATCTCAGATTTTTCTCTAATTGTAAAAGTATATGAGTATATGAGTTAATTCCACACACGATTACTTTAATTGTTTGTGGTTTAACAAAAAAACGATATTGATTTGAAATATTCTTTCACCAAAAAAAGCTTTTCTATCCACGAGTAACCAATCGTAATTCAATGTGTCTAAATGACATTTGTCTAAACCTTTTGGCCATTTTTAATGTCATAGCCCTTACCCATAATAGCCACTGTATTCCCATCTGATGTGTTTTTATTTTACTAGAATACTTTCCTATATAATTATTTTTTTATTTTCGCGGCGTTGTGGAGATATGTAAATATAAAAGATGAAATTAGCGACTCATGTTTTTATGATTGATATGATTTGAGGTCAAGAATGAGCATAAATCGCAAATAAACAAACAAGCAATTATTTAATTTATTCATGACACATATTTGTACATGAAGATCTTGGTCATTTTTCATTTAGGATAATTTATTATCCATAGAAAGTATTAGGCATTTCATTTTAATCAAGAGAGATGTAATAAAATCGCGTTTTACATAGGAATGCGAATGACTGTGATCAGTTAAAACAGAAATATTAGGAACTGATTATGACGTTTGAACTGTGCGACGTCGTTAAATTATGCATGGGCGTTGTATCGAACGATCTGTATAAATATGTGGGCCCACTACGTTATCACATCACAAACCACCGAAACTCGAAACAGGCAACAACAAACTTCTCTTGGCTGGCTTTAAAGCGTTTAGCTAACAGCCATGGCGTTCGTTGTAAGTTTTAAACGGATTAAGATGTGGATTATTAAAAAAAAATAAAAATGTTATAACGTATCCTAAAATCCTTGTATTTTTGTTTCAGATGAAAGTTCTGTTTTTGTCTGCGTTGGCGTATAGTGCTAATGCCGGGATCCTTACTGGAGAACACAGCTCCGACTCCTTCTTATCTTCAGCTCTGAATTCTCCCTCGGCTAACTTCGGTTCGCCGTCTACTTCATACGGACCACCAGCTCCATCTTTGGACTTAAATGGACCAGGAGCGAGTGTAGATGGAAGCTTATTATCCGATGACCACTCTTCAGGCGTGCTTTCTATTCATGACCATGGACCAGTTTCGTTGGGAGATCAACCCTTGGCCAGTGGCCCATCTCTGGGTGGTGGCATTGGATTCGGCGACTCTGGACTTAGCGGCCCAGGACTTAACGGACCAGGACTTGGCGGCCCAGGACTTGGCGGCCCAGGACTTAGCGGCCCAGGACTTAGCGGCCCAGGATTGGCCAATGGACCTGCCTTCGGTGGTGATGCAGGTTTTGGAGGCCCCGCATTAGGAAGCGGACCTATCTCGAATGGTGCCCCAGTCCTAGGACCGAGTGGTGGTGATGGTGCTTTAATTGGTGCTCCCGCATCTGCCCCCGCATTTGGAACTCCCATCGGCCCAGTACTCGACACTGGACTCGCAGGTCCCGCCGCCAACGGCGCTCTCGGAGCCACCGTCAACGTCGGCCGCCCAGTAGCTGGCGCCTCCAGATACGAGCTGCAGTCTGTGGTACAAAACGTCGTTCGTCGCATCCCAGTAGAAGTAACCCGTCACATCCAAGTGTCAGTACCCCAGCCCGTCCCTGTCCCCGTACGTCAGGAAGTCAGAGTGCCAGTGCCTCAGCCCTACCCCGTCCACGTTGACGTCGTTAAGCATGTCCCTTACCCTGTCTACAAAACTGAGCACGTTGAAGTGGAAAGGCCAGTACCCGTTGAGGTCGTGAAGCATGTACCATTCGAGGTGATTAGGAAGGTACCCATCCCAGTAGAAAGGCCCTACGAGGTTATCAAGAAAGTCCATGTCCCCGTCGAGAAGCACGTGGAGGTGCCCGTGCCCGTGTGGAAGCCTTACCCCATCCACATCATCAAGCACGTCACTCACTACAAAAAGAAGAGCTGCTGCTGGTGAACAAAATGTAAAAAAAACAGTCATGATCCTACCAAATAGTCAATACAATTGTAAATATTGATAGTCATTAGCTGTAATAAGAAACTGTGTATATTTTTCTAAGATTTTTTTGTATCAAAACATGTCTTTTTTTTATATTTCCTTTATGACTTTATCTCTATCTTAACCTTTCACTTAATGACTTATAACTTATACAAGAATAAAATTTTATTCGGATCCGAAGCGACCAGATGACTTAATATTGTACGAAGAGCTATGATAGAAGAAAAGATAAAGAAGAAAAGATGTCTGGAGGCAAGAGGAAGAAACTATCGAAATAAAAAATGCTGACATGCTTACATTCCCTATAATACTAACTACAGCATTTGATAAGAAATCGAGACCGCACGATAATCATTCTGAATAAAGAAAGAATATCTTACATCTAGCCCCTTTACTTGATCAAAATTTAACTAATAAGGGATTTGTTTATTGATTTAACTAATACAAATATTATGTAGCGTAAATTAGTTAAAAAAGTACATTAACCTAATTCAAAAAGCAAACTTAGTTAATTACAGTTACTTACGTAATATATGAATGTATTATAAACTGTGTACCTTTTACTAAACAGTGAAATTCTATTACCGAAACCAGTTTAATATTTTTATAATAATTACTTAACAAACATCACGTCTCTATATAAATTAACGAATAGAAAGTGATTATAATTAAATTACTTTGACTTTTATTTTTTTAATTCTGCTTGCTACATTAACACTATCTAAATTAAATTCTTTATTTGATTCGATAATAGCAATAAAGTATTATTTAAACGTAACGTATGAAATTTTAAAACCGAAGGTAAAACAAAAACATTTTACCGCATGCTTTCTTAGCAAATCATACATAACGTTAAAAGTCTGGTTCAACAAAAAATGTTATTTAAATTGTGGTTTCGTTTAGTTCTAATTTCAGTAGAATTTCACTAGGGAAGTCATTTCCAAAAAATACCATTATGTTCACGCGAGACTGTATAATTCGCACTCCTATGGTGCTCCTTTCTAATCAGTCTGGGCTGTCGCCCTACTCTAAGGCCAGTACTGATAACCTGTACATACTGGTTTCCTGGGACGTCAGATATAAATACTGCCAAACACTTTGGAAAACAGTTGAGACTAAATTAATATCAATGTAGGTTGAAAGTCCCCTTTCTTTTAATTTTGAAACGATAACCGCAAATAAACAGACATCATACTAATATTATAAATGCAAAAGTTTAGATGGATGGATGGATGGATGTTTGTTAGGGATTGTAGCCTAAACCGCTGAATGGATTTCGATGAAATTTGGTATGGATGTAGAGGATAGTCTGGAAAAACACATAGATTACTTGGTTTTGTTTTTTTTTTTAATTCCACGAGGACGGAGTCGCGGGCGAAAGCTAGTGTTTTTCATCAATTCCGTTGTTTTTCATCGCTGCCTATTACCGAATGTTTAGCTTAAGTTACGTTTGTACTTTATATTTAAAACCAACTGTTTCTGGGACTTTACGGTTTAAATATTTGAGAAACTCGATTATTCCTTCGTTTATGTGAAAGATAATTTTACAGAAAACTCGAAACATAACCTACCAGCTTTCGCCCGCCGTTCCGTCCACGTTGAATTAAAAAAAGTAATAAGTAAGTAGCCTATGTGTTATTCCAGACTATGCTCTAAACCTATGCCAAATTTCATTGAGATCAGACCAGTTGTTTACGCTACAAACTCTAACAAACCATCCCATCCATCCATCTTAACTTTCGCATTTACAATATTTGTAGTAAGTAGGATTGTATTTGTATTTTAATGTGTTTATTTATATTTTCAAGTATTTTTGGCAATATGGACGATTCCTGAAATAACGAAGTAACGGCTCGTGCCGAGGCTCCAGAGGGAGCCCTCGAGCTTAGTTACTCATAAACGAGGTTTAGGCTAAGTGCCATCTGCGTTCGACCATCTCAAGTCCGGTGAATCTGTAAATGCCTCTTCAAGGCAAACAGTGGCCATTCAGTCTCAAAAAAGAAAACGATTCCTATAAAAAATTACGTTCTCACATGGAAATGATGTTCGTAAAATCATTTCTTAGTGCTCACCTATGTAGGAACAGAAACATCTATGTAAAATTTTAAGCCTCGCTAAAACATTCAAAAGTGGAATAATTCAAACCAAACCAAAATTGGAAATAATTAATTAAATGTGCACCTTGAAAAGTTCCCATCTATATTAATAATACCGCCATCTATGAAGTAGTATAAACATTACTTCGTCAATAGTTAGAAACACGAACGAAACAATACAATGGTAGTTGCTTCAGTTTTTGAACATAGATGGCGGTAAATTACAATTAAAGGTTTTGATTACGGTGTTTGGTGATGTTTTATTGTTGTAAAATGTAAATAATTTTAAAGCATGCTGACTGTACAAATACTTAATGTATTACGTACCTGATTATGACCTTCATCGAGAACATCACGAGGAAACATGCATAAAGAAACGTAAATACTTTCTGTGTTCATTGAAGTAATGAGTCCAGCTAAACTATAAACACGCTAAAAGGTATTTATAACACAAATTTCATTAAAATTTAATCACATAAAGAGAAATGGTAAATAAAAAGTACATTTACCAATAAAGATTTTATTCGAGTTTTTCAATGTCACTCAAATCTGCATTAAAGAATTCATATGCGAAGATGTGACCAGAGATAACGTTTTCAAAATCGTACAGACTAAAAATCCGTTAGCCTGTCAATGATCCATACATTCCATATACATCAATTCCTTTTTAAATAAAATTAGCTGTTGCTCGCGATTTCACCCGCGTGAAATAACAAATATAACCTATTACGTTCGCCCTTTTTTTCAACCTATTACGAAAAGTATTATCTTAGTAGTAATCTACATAATAACAGAAATCTACTGATGCAAGATTCCAAATTTATAAGCCCGGTAGCTTGTAAGCTGATTTTTCGGTTACCTTTATTGTTTGTGTTTGCGATATCTTCTAAACTATTAGTCCAATTTAAATACTGTAAAGGACAATTTTATTCTACATTAGATTCTCCTGATAAAAAATTTGTTTATTTGGATAAGGATTAATATTGAAACCAATAAAAGAACGCTGAAAATAGGGTAAGGTTTTTAATTCATTATGTAAACAAAAAAATGCTTATTGTAAGGAAACCGTTAAAGTTAGATATGTGCTCTCGCGGACTTTTCTGTAAAACTTTTTGAGATCTACATTTCTTATTTACATCATTTTTATATACCTCTAACAGTTGAGGCCGCGTAAGCCGAGAAAAGTTAAAGTTTAGTAATTTTTTAACGCCGGCGTCCAGAAACACGCTGTTTATTAATAGTTCCTAGACCTTAGTAATAACAAAATATAGCCTATGTTACTCACAGATAAATTACCTTTCTGATGGTGAAAGAATTTTTAAAATCGGCCCAGTAGTTTTTGAGTTATTTCAATACATACAAAAATAAAAAAATACAAAGTTTTCCTCTTTATAACATTAGTATAGATAATTATCTATTTGAGACTAGTAGTCTCAATCGACTTTCCCGAATACTAATCCTATGTTATTTTTTATCAGTATATAAGTCGAAGATACCTAAACAATTTTCGAAATGTTAAATTTCACTTTTACAAAATATCAAGTTAACTATTTCAAATCAAATTTATGTTTCTACAGATAAAAAATATTCAACCTATCGAAATGTTAATAGGCGTCTTGGTATTGTTGATATTTTTTTGACATCATTAAGTTTCCTAATTGGCAACATTATTAAAAATTCAAAGTCTTTTAAACTTTCTCAATATTTTGCAAGGGTTTTATGATTCATATTACTAGCTGTCGACAGCGACTCCGTCCGCGGTGAATTAAAAATTCTTAAGTAACCTATGTGTTCTAGCACGTAATGCTCTACATATATGCCAATTTGATAGAGATCCGTTCAGTCGTTTAGTAAATACCTTCTAACGGACATACAATCTTTCTTTTATTAATACATTAAATACGAAAGTTTAGATGGTTGGATAGATGTTCGTTAAGGTACATATGTCACTTAAACGAGTCAACAGATTTTGATTAAATTTCTCATAGGTGTGGATAATAGTCTTAAAGAACACATAGGCTTCCACACACACATAGGCACAATCCACGAGGACGCAGTCGCGGGCGAAAGCTAGTTTATAACATTAGTAAGAAGTAAGGTTAGATAGAGACATGAATGGTATGTTTTAACAGCATCGGTTAAGGAATCAGCCAACATGACCGACTTCATAGAAGACAAGCGTGAAGTATTGTATTTCATCAGATGATTAAGGGGAAACGAGAAGTCAAATCTGATCCCGTTTTAGTACCCTTCTTGTAACAGATGACCATAGTAGCGGCCTCTTCGTATGGGTGTCGTCCTGGCTACTGGCTAGGTCTAACGAGAGGGGATGCAGTGACCCTTAATATGGTCTTGTTCGAAACCGGATTTTCTTTTCTGTAGGGGGCGGTTGTCCTTTTCCTCTTACTCGTACTGGCTGCGTCGATTACTCTTCGCATTTCAATTTGTCTAAACTTATGCATTACAAGCAGACATTAGATAAGGCAATCTATAACAGAGTTGTTTTCATTATTTTTTAATTACGAATTAATAATACGGGACTTAGTATAAAATAAAACATTAATTTTGTAAGCGGAACTTGTTTTCATTCGTTTTGAATATTCATAAAATTATTTATTTTGTGTTTCGGAGTTTAAGGATTATATTCGCATAAACTAACTAACTGGACTTATATCTAGAGAATCTAAAACATGTCACGTTTTAAAAATGTATATTTATGTAAATTTAACTTCTCAAAAATCTTAACTTTTCAAAAAATTTGCATAAAGTGTTTTTACGTTTTGTTTCGTAATAAAATGACTTCTGTGTTTATTAGGGGCGCCTCTCAAGTCAATCAAAATTACATTTACGATGTTTATAAAATTCGTTTGTTTTATGTTAAAAATATTGCTTATATTTGTTGACAAATTATATGAAAAAAATGTAAACGTTGGTTATAATTGAACGTGCCATTTGCGCATAAACTTCACCTTT